AATATCCAGATCCCCTATCGGCCCTGAAGGGTGTCCATTCATCGAAGCATGTGCTATAGCCAACGTTATGAATTTTCAACCTCTCTTGTTGATTTTGTCAACCTCCCTGATCTCAATATCATACAGTTTTGTATCTTTCTATTGTGGATTCGCCTTTCTAACGGGGGTTTATGTCAAGTATTTGTTGCAAAATCGCTTTGCTTTTTTTATTTCCCTCTTTAGCCTGTCCGCCATTTTGAAAATTTGCAACAGAGAGCATGGGTGTGCATCACGAAGGTTTAGTGGTCGCGTACACCTGGAACCGAGAAAAACAAATGTTCGTCGCGCTGGGGAAAGAGTTTGATATGGTAACTTGCTTGTCATGTTAATCAATTTTCCCCTTAAATAACCACCTTCGATCAGTAATCTGTCTGTCTTTGCGTCTCTTTTGAATTAAAATAAGAAATTAAAATACATTTATGGAGCACCATACCTTGCTAATTGTCCATGACACTCTACAGTAAAATGGAGCTTTACTACACTGCGTTACTCAATGCTGTTCAAACTAACTATAATGAAAATTATTTATCAAATACTAAGCGACCTATCACGGAATAATACCGTAATAACATTTCTGGTTCTTCAGTGTGTTATTAACCCTAGAAATTCACGATTGACTGTTATATGTACAGTTAGTTTGTATCCCCAGCCTTGATACTCTTTACAACGGCTGAATTATTTCGTGCAGTGGATGATCTTTCGGCATATTAGAGCGTAAGCATCCCGAAAGTCACGAATCCTTGCACTGTAGATGATGAAATTCATGGCTGAATTTGAAAGTGCCAAGGATCGAATCCACATGTAAGCAGTGCCATACATCTTAACAAGGGATTTACCAGCAGCAAAGAACACGACAATCATCGGCAGCCAACATGCGGTAAAGATAGCTATTACTATTGCTAGTGTAAACGCCACGCGGCGCTCGATTTTGGAATCTACAACAACTGTGGGTCGTGCTCTGATTTCATTTTTTCTTCCCTTTTCTTTAACAAGAAAAGTCACGATGGTCGCGTAGCAGATAATTATCAACCCATAGCTTACAACAAACACCACGAGAACCAGATAAGATGTCTCTTTGAGGAAGGGAATGCGGCACGAAGCGAAAATGATAGATACGACCCAGACAACTCCTAACATGATCTTCAAACCGTAACTGTTCATGATCTGTCTATGGCGGAGAGGGTAGACGACTGCAAGGAAACGGTCCACACTGATGGCTGCCAGGTGAATGACTGATGCAGAGCACGAGAGGTTTGAGCTGATAACGTAAGCAAGCTCCAAGCTGGATGCACAATCATGGAGAAACGCTCTCTTAGCGACTATAGCAGCTACCAA